TTATCTGAATATGCATTGACCCTTGCTGTTTCGTGTCTGTATGCACATGTGTGGACCTACATGTGTGTACGAACACGTGTATGTGCATTCACACACACACACATTTCATTCGACCCTGAACACAGATCTATTGCCTTATATTCTGGGATATTTTTAAGTCCAAAAAGAGGCATGCGTGCACACATGCACATGCAGGGGTTGCCTTCTACTTGAGGTCACAAAGCAAGCCAGGGGGCCCAGCCTTCTGCAGTGGGAACCCAGTGATAGGAGCCCCCACCATGTATCTATCAAGGAGGAGCAGTGGCTATAGAATCCAGACACTACAACTCTTCAACATCAAACGCAGGGCAAAACGGGAATATTAGGTGCAAAATGTTTTTACAGCGTTTTTCTGGAAATGAAACCCTGCCAAACCAACTCTCCTACATTTTATCACAGTAGATGCGTTATGTTTTGGTCTAGAGAAAGATCTGCCTGACCAAGATATGATGGACTTGGTTTATCTTGCCACCTGAGCACATTTAGTTTTGCTTGATAGTCCCTAGATTGCTCAGACTCATATTGCTGACTGAAGGAGCCAACAACTTGTCATATCTGCAAGTTGGGCAAAACTGAAAGATTACACAAGGTCACTTTTGAAAAAATGAGAGCAAAATTCAGCTTTCTAATAAGACGGAACTAAACCTCATTCACTGAGCCATGTCACTGTTCATGCTGTATGCCACTACTCTTCTAATCTTCTAATACCCCTTTCCCAGTGTCTGAGAAAATACCCCAAAACTTGATTCCTGCCATTCCACTAACATTTCGTAGATTTATTTACAGAAGAGTAACAACAATTGTTCCTTACAATATGAATTTAGTCTCTTTCCTCAAATAGAGTATGGCTTTGCTAGTGGATTTTTTCTTCATATTTTGGGTAACTGAGATGCTGTTTTTGAGAACAGTTTGCGGTAGAGTTTGTCAGTCTAGAAACAGAGACTTACTGTCTAAGCAGGGTCAAACTATAACTTAAAAACAGTAAAGCGTGGCTTTATTTGAAGATACCATGGTGCTTGTAGCTGGGTGTTTCATCCTTACATTTGTTTTGGCAAACACCTCAAGGTCTGACATCTTTTGACAGTGCTCCAACTCAACAAGTGTCCCTGAACTCTCTCCCAGAAAGCATCAGACCTCTTCCTTTCATTCCCACATGGCCAAAGTGAGATGATTTCTCTGAACAGAGAAGCAAGTGACACCTAATGAGCTTCTTAGATAGTAAGTGAGAAACAAATTCAAATTCATATCTCTAATAAAAGTTTGAGGTACTATTACTGTGAAGTAATTTCCCTTTGACTCACTATGATATTCGTAGCCATGGCAGATACAGGAAGCAAAGGATTCGTATTTTCAAAGGGAGCATGTCCTTCTGGATCAGCCTTTAGGGAAATCATTAGGATGGACTGACAGTAGTGACATTTAGATGAAGGTGAAGGAATGAACGTGCCTATCAAAGCTTGTAATAATAAAGCCTATTTGTATTTATCTGTTTGCACTGTGGGTGAATCCTCTGTTCTTACACGGCTGTTTATATTGCACTGTTTATAGTTTTGTCTTCTGTATAGTCCCAATGGGTAAAATAGATGAAAACATCCTGCAATAACCCAGATCTCGGACAATATCAAAATGGGATTCAGATTGGTGTTCTTGCCAGGCTGCACTAGCGTGGTGGAGGAGGTGTGCACATCTACAGTCACTTAATTTCCCCGTTCAGACTATGAACCATCCCCAATCTTCTCTGCCCTGTGATTGCAAATCCATTCCCCATCTACCCCATATGCTTCTGCAAACAGGGACCCACACTTGTTTTCACGCACAGGCAGATGCCCGGTTCACCAAAGCACCGTTGGATCCTATAGATCTTTGGTTCTTTATGCTCTGGGACACATGAATCCTAAGAAAGTCCTGTCACAGGTCAAGACTTTGCCTTGGCACTCTGCTATACCCGAAGTCCTCCTGCCTCATGTTTCAACTTCTCCCTCCTTGCCTGTTCCTCACCAGGACTCATGAATACAGGCAGTGCAGACCTTCAAGCTTGCTGATGCTGGGCTGATCTCCAGTCCTGCCAGGGACCTCTTCGGCACAGGGGTGCTTTGCCCTGCTCTGAGAGGAATCCCAGGAGCATTTTTCTGCTCTGCAGGTGTGGGCTGCACACAAGAGAAGGGTCTGATGCCACCAGAGCTCCTTCCAGCTCTTTCTCCAACAGCTCTTTCTTCTTCAGGCAACAGTCTGAGCCAAGATAAGACACCTGCTCCATGTCAGAGAGCTGGGCTTGAGTGAGGACAGCTAAACCAGTTGGAATGGGTGGGGGGGAGGGCATGCACCCGGTCCAGTGTCATATACCACTGGAGATGGGGAAGAGGCAGTCTCTGTCAGCCATAGCCTCCTGCCTCATCAGTGGGCTGCTGTGGACTCTACCAATGCTCTATCCGCTTCTCCCAAGTCAGTCCTTGTCTTCTTGGGAAGATCATATTGGCTGAAGCAGAGTAGGGAACTAGCAAGCGGCAAGAGAAAACTTTTGAAATATCCCACAGTCTTCTCAAAAAGACCTTATCCTCTCCTGGCCATGCAGACATGTATTTGTTGCCTAGAAAAGTTGTTCTGTCACCAGGACAAACTCCAGCTATGCTATCCCTGGCAGGAAGAAGTAACTTCGCATGCCCTAGTGAGCAGCATTGTGCTGGCGTTGCTGGGCCCCAGCCCCAACCCTTCCCTCCCCTATTCCCACCTTACCACCTTGTCCCATCCACTTACCGCCACATCCCTTCCCTGCTCTTCCTTGGCCTTGCTTCCAAATCTTGAGGAGGAAAGGCAGATCCTGCCTCTGGCTGGGTCTTTGCAGCAGACATCACGAGGGAAGTAGCCTGAGGAGTTGCAGAGCAACAAGTTACTGCCAATCCCTGTGACTTACGGTAGCACTAACATGTGGTAGTGGTAACCACTTGTGCAGAGGTGCTCACCTGAGCTGCAGATGAGGTGTTTGCATGCCATCGCAGCTCCGATCGTGGCAGCTCAGGGAAGTGCGTCCACAGCAAGAGAGGGGAGAAAACCCCTCTGCGGTACTGTGTGTACCACCAAGGCTGGCCTAGAGAATTGTATACTGCTCCTCTACCATCACTTTGAGAGCGCATCCACATCTTAGTGGGGATGGGAAAGTCAGTATAGGAGTCTGTCCTATTTTTTTTGACTATCGTGATTTATAGGCTTGAATTTATGAGGCTTGAAGAAGGGAATTAGGAGTTTCCCAAACTGCACCTAAAGCACCCGAAGTTGTAATGCTCTTTGACTGTCAGAAGTGGGCTGAACTTCAGACAGTGCTGTACAGAAGTTTCCATTGACCACCACTTATTCATTTATTATATCTGCTCTCTCACTGATGCATGTGTGGTGTAATTGGACTTACTCTCCATTTTTTGGGCCGTCAGTTAGCAAAGGAAGCCAATGTAGTTGATTAATGAAGTTCATTAATCTGAGAATATGAAACCTAGAAGAAACAAAGAACTTAAAGTAAATAAACTTCACATTTTTTTATTTATTTATCCTTTATTTAGTAATAGCACCCAAAGCTGCATTATATTAACACAAGTAATAAAGCTTTCATATTTTATTCCTACCAGTGCATTTCCAAATCCAGGTGAAATGCTGGAAATAAGTAATGCTGCCATACCATGAACACAGGGTGTAGATCACAATGATACATGACTTACAAGTGAATCCCAATGTAATAAAATAAAAAGTTGTAGTTTAGGTATGAAACCTGTAACCTAAGGAACTGTGGCCATTTCTATTTCCACAAAGTACCATAACAAAACAGCGGCTGTAGGAACTATAAAGATAACATACTTAATCATACTTTTTGCATCATTTTATTGAATACTCCACGCTGGATGTTCAACTTATAGCTATAGTGTGTGTTGGCTACAATGCTACAATGAGAATGAGTATTGCTTGTATTACAGAAAGGGTCATGAAATGTATGGACCTGTCTGCATGTTTAACAAAATGAAACAGCAATACAATAAAACTGCACCACATGTGAATATTGTAAATGGTTAAGTTATAAAGTCATTCATTCAAAAATCCAAATATTTCAATGAAAAAAAAGTATATAAAATGTAGTAAAACATAAATTACATTTAAAGGTCTGTACATGATTCATCCTGCAAATAGAAGCACAAAACCAGCACTTTGTACAGTATTGCTTATTTTGGTCTTCTAAAGTTCAAAGATTAATCTTCACTAAAGAGGCAGGAAAAAACATGGTTTCACATGCAATCCAGCAGTAATTGCGGTAAATCAAGTAAGTGTATAACCCCGCACAAAACCCAACACTTTTACAATGTAGGAACATACATGTGGAGCCCTTTTCTATACTTGATAACCAATATGCAATTAAAGTTGGATTGTTAAGTTAGTGCACACCTACAATATCCCCTACAATATCCCCATTTTTGGTTAACAGTGTATTAAGGCTGCTTGCTGCTGAAAATACACAGCAGAGAAGGAATACTTTCATCCACAAATGCAGTCAGACGATCTCATTTGGAAGCTTCTGTCACAGTCATTCATTGGGAATGATGAAAGAAAGCCATCCTCTCTCCTCTCATGTTATTCCACAGGATGTTGTGGATGCTCTAAGTTTATGTGTGTTCAAAATCATTTGGATAAATTCATGGTAGAAAATTCCATCGAGGGCTATTAAACAGAAAAAAATTCCACTTCTGGCTTGGGAAGTCCCTAAGCCACAAATTGCTGGAGGCTGGGGGAAATTCTACAAGGGAAATTGCCCTTGCAGTCTTCCCTGGGCAGACATTATTGATGGCCTTTCGAGACATGCTACTGGGCTGGACAGACGCACGGTCTGACTCAGCACAGCCAATTTTATGTTCAGTTTCCTTACTTTTCTGGTTATCGTAATACAAACACGGATCAGTATTCTCAACTTGTTATTTTTTCAGACTCAAAAAGCAAACAACAATCTCATGTCCATTATATCAAAGAGATAAATACTATAAACTAAGCTGTCCATCACATCCAGGGCACTTCTTTATGCTCAGAACAATCCTGCAACCATAGTTGAATTCCTTTTTGTGTTACTGGTTTAAGCATAATTCACTAACATTACACTCACATATCATGATATACATGATGTGCAATGCTACTCTGCAATACGTTGCACAGCAACAGTACATAACTGAAAAGCAGCTTCCCTCAAGAACTGTAGGACAGTAAAAAAGATTAAACCCAGCAACTCTCTACCATCATATTTGCAAAATGTGATGGTGGCAATGGTCAATAAACCCAGTATATCATCACTGCTGCACTTTACATGGGTGTAGGTTTTTTAGTTTTGTTTCTTTTAGTCAGATCAAAATCACTGCTCTTAAGCCTAAGGATCTACAGTCTCCGTGCATGGAAGTGATGTGAAATTCTTAGTAATGAGGCCAAATTCCTTAGGCTTCTGATTGAATTTCTGCTTCGTCCATCTGAAGTGTGTCATTATCGCCCAGCAATTCTGTTTCAGGCACAGAGCCCTCCTCTTCCTCCTCCTCCTGGACGGGATTCTGGGCGATGTCTTCAGTTCCGTTGTGCGTGTCATCCGTGCCCTCTGAGAGCAGAGCAGCCCTGTCAGCCACCGACGCATTGGAAGGAGCGGTTGTTACGTAGCCTGTGCTGGTGGATCCACTTCCACTGTGGTGGGACCCTGGTTTGGGAATGATCTGGGGAGGCATTTGCTGAGGAGCCATTTGCATTGGAATTTGGACGGGGTAAAAATTTGGCAAGTAAGCACCGTAGGCAGGCATTGGCTGGTAACCATTGACTGGAATGTAGAGCTGAGGAGGTGGGACCATCGGTCTCATCTGCCCTTTCATTTGTATGAACTGCGGTTGAGGGAAAGCTGGAGTTTTCTGCTTTGGTCCAATGTACCTAGCATTGCTGACATTGCTAACAGGGCTTGTGCTGAGAGAACTTGTTTGCGTGGTGTTGCTTGCCCCAGAGGTTTGCGCTGAGCTGTTGTAATTAGAAAGGTTTCCCCATGTTCTTAGTCTGTTGTGTATATCTTTAAATCTTGGTCTTCTGTTGGGAAACTCATTCCAACACTCCAACATCAAAGTGTATATCCATGTGGGGCAGTCATCAGGACATGGCAAAACCTGTCGGTTCCTGATCATCTCGATGACATCCTGGTTAGAATAACCACAGTAAGGCTGCAGGCCATAGCTGAAAACTTCCCACAGCACAACTCCATATGACCATATATCCGAATCAATAGAAAACTTGCCATACATAATAGCCTCAGGGGACATCCACCGGATAGGAAGAAGGGAATTTCCCATCAGTTTGTAGTAATCAGCAGCGTAAACCTCCCTGAAAAGGCCTAAATCAGATATTTTCACATTCAGTTTATCAAACACCAGTATATTTCTAGTAGCCAAGTCCTTGTGGACAACGTGGTGGCTTGAAAGATATTCCATTCCTGCAGCTATCTGAGTCACAATGTGGAAAAAGTCTGCTGGTTCCAGAGTGGATTTTACTGTCTTGTCATCGTCAGTGCTGCCAACATCCGAATGGGGAGATCTCATCACCAAGAACTCATGGAGGTCACTGTGGGAACAATAACTAAAAATCATGCTTATGGGTTGTTCCTTCGTCACTATTCCCAGCAAACAAACAATGTTTGGGTGCTGTAATCGTGATCTCATCATTGCCTCATGTTTGAATTCCTCCCGAAGAGCCAGTTCTGCTTTGTCTTTAAGTGTCTTGATAGCAACAGCTTGTGTCTGTTCACCTGGTGCTGTACCAAAAAGATGCCCCTTGTAGACTTTGCCAAATCTCTCCTCTCCTAGTTCCTCCATAAACCGCACAGTGGACAGATTGATTTCTTTAAGTTTAGCCTGAAATGAAGTAAAGCAAGTAAGTCAGTGAAAAATCACAATGTTTTCTAAACAACAGAATCTCTCACTAACGGAAAGTTCCCAGGAGTTAGATGCTCCAAATGGAAAATGCATTTGGCCAAAACAACTTTTCAGCTTTTTGTATATTTACAACAGTATATTGATTTTACAGTTAACCTTGAAATGAGTTATACTATTATCAGAAGTGTAATTTGAATTATGCTGCAAGATGATGAGTGTAATTATTTTTAAAAAGGAGCAGCCATATTTCCTGCAAGCTAAATGAATAATCTGTTCAGAGTAAATCTGGCAAACAATGATGTCTATTAACTGCAGCTGCACTTGCCCTATAGATCTGCCCAGAGGTGCCCGCTGGAGATCTGTCAGAAAAGCTGTGGGCACTGGCTGAGGAGGTGGCAGCCTTGGGGTGAACTGAAACATCCCTCCCAGCAGAACGAAGAACAAAACCTCTCTCTTTCGGTTCTGCGGTAGCAGATACGCCCTTTCTCTGTTGCACTACAGTACACAGTACCCCTGCTAAGAAACCTCGCATTAGCTCTGATGAAGAGGGGGGTGAAAGAGGAGCAGAAGGAAGAAGGAATTTCTCTCTGGTACATAAAGGAAAAGGTGGCAAAGCCAAGAGTGAGAAGCCCCCAGAGCCTCCCTCCTGCAGCTGGCAGGGAAAGCAAGGGAGTTCGTGATGGTCATCTAATGGGTCCATCCTGACCAGCATGGGCTGGAGGTGTCCCCGACCGAGCCAGATGCAGCTGGCACAGCTTCATACACAGGGCACCGCAGCAGGAGGGAGCAGGGCAGGCTGGAAAGAGGCTTTAACAGGTGATTTGGGAACAAGCTCTGATTTTAGTGGCCAACAGACTGTGGACTTGACCAGACAGTTTCCAGCACAGCCCAGACTCAGCCATTAAACCTCCCCCTTGTCACACAAAATCAATGCAATTTGTTACAATTTGTGCATGTATCCTACAAATATTCTAGTTTCCTGAACAGATGTTGCCAATTGTTCCAAATTGAGCATTGTTTTTTAGAGCTTGCATCTTGTAAATGCTGTGATTAAAAATTCAACATTAGCTCTGAACAGGCTTTTAGCTGGAGATCAGTTAGTTGACCCAGAAAATTGAATGCAGGAGCTGAGATCAAAGACAGAAGTTCAAAGCCATTTTTATTTCACCGTCCTTTGTGATACACAGCCTTAGAAACATGTTGTACCCCGGCTCAGCTCCCCACTTGGTGATGGTTCAGAATACCAGCGGACTGAGCCGACAGATTAGACAAGAAACCCCACCGTGGATCCTGCTTTAAACAAGCAAACATGCCGCGTCATTACCAGGAGCAAAAATGAGCTGCAGGCTGAAGACTGGATCAGAAATAACAACATTTCCAGCCACTGAGACAACAGGCAGAATGGGGGTTGACAGGTAAGGGCAAATGTCATAAAATACTTTGTCCTGAAAGCTGTTGCCAGAGGCCAGGATTCCCAGATACAGCTAGCGAGTGCAAGACCTAGTTTTCACTGAAGTAGATGGCCAGCACAGTATGAAAATTAGGTCCCTTACAAACACGGCTCAATTCGAACATCGCCAACCTGAGACACTGAAAATCACAACACTTTGGAAATATGTGGCCAAGCAAATTCTGGAAAAAATACCTGTTTGTGTTGATTAATGAGTGGCATTTCCATGTCCTGGCTAGGAGATGCCATCAGCTGGCGGCGCTGTGGTGCGGCAGCAGATGCCTTCTGTTTGTTTCTGCACATACAGACCAGGAAGAAAAGGCAGGCGATAACCAGAGGGATGGCTATGCTGGGAACCAGAATGTACAGGATTCCCATTTTACTGTTGTCACGTGGACCTGTCAGGCACAGAAATGTTCATTGTTTACAACAAGTATTTTTAATGCATTCGATAGTAAAGCAAAGAAAAAAAAATCTGCGGTATGATTATTAATACTATATTTTAAACAAAAAGTAAACTCCTATAGCTTGAAAACAGAAGTCTCCATAATTTTCCATTAAATATTTCAAAGAAGGTTGAATGGACATAGCAACTAGCAGTATGAAGATAAACTAGAAGCCCCACATTCAATGTGTTGACTCTAACAGTACATGGTTTATTTCACTTCATTTTTGAGGCTTCCAGTCCTACGGAAACTGCAGGACATAGACCAGAGTATCATTGCATTATCTTGTTCAGGGGATAAAAAACAAGTGAATAGTCTTCGTCACAGTATATAAAGCAGTGAGCTCAATGTGATAAACTGCAGCACAACATTGCAGTCTGGCTTTCTCGCCCAGCTTCACCCATTTCATCAGCACTTTGCCCACTTTTTACCTCGACTTTTACCACCTCTGCCCAGAATAAAATAAATCTCACTTCTCACTGGCAGAGATATTATTTGTTCTGTACTTAATAGAATTAAAGTGCTTTTATTTTACAGCAAGACGGACATGAAAAAACCATCAATGCACTTAATAAGACTGTTCTGGAACCATCCTAAAGTGCTTTTTTCTTGATACTTAGAGACTTAAGAAAAGCATAATGATGTCCAAAACGTTCATTGGAACTGCCTGGGATGCTTTCTGCAATCCGTGGTTTTGCTATTTGTGGCTACTGCTTTCACCACAACCACATCCCAGTGTTATCTTTCACCATGTTACATGCAACGTAGAAATTTATTATAAGTGTCAAATCATGTTATTGTAAAAAAGTGAAGTAACTAAGAAATTTTATATCAATTTTGAGCACTCTTAAATATCCAGGCAGTCTGTAACAAAACCACTTTTATGGCTTCCATGATACATCTGTTGCTGCAGGAAACATGCTTTTCTTCCTAATGAAGCACAGTATTAAGGTGCTTTGTCATGTCCAAAGACTGTTGCCACTGTAACAGCTCTAGAGTGAAGGCTGTACCAATACAGGGAAGTGAGTGGGACAGTATTAAGCTATTAAGCTGAGAGAGCTGTGCTTCTTATTTTTGCTATAAGTTGTGCAGTACAGAGCCACCAGCAGACAGTGTAGGACTTTTCTGATAGGATCATCTGTTTTATGACATCTCTGCTTCTGCACTTCACATGGCTTCCTTCCGACCAAGCATGGTGCTACATCTCCCTCTACAGGATCTGAAAATCCTTGCTGCCTGCAAGATGCCTTACAGAGCGGAAGCAATATACCATTGAGTAATGTGAGCAAACCAAACACATATACAGGTGATAAGTACATCAAGTCTGGCATTTGGCCAGTTAGAATACAAACTGCAGCAGTATCGTTAATTATTATCTCTGCTTAAGTACCTGGTACGTAATTAAAAAGTGTCACAATATCTCAGTTACAAGCTCTGATCCCCAGAAAATATTAAACGCCTACAACACAAAACAAGGGTGACACATTACAGCAAGTGAAACATTTGAAAGCATAACCCTCTTAAGTGAATTGTACTTGTAAAAATAGGGAACATTCAAAATTACACAGGATTCAGGACAGTAGTAGGGGAAAAAAGAAAGAGAATACATACTACAAGAAGGTATGTCACACAGTTCCATGCGTACGTTTTTATTCTTTGTAAAACACCAGGGCCCATCCATCTGACCTCCAGGATTTCGGCAATACGCATGTCCTCCACCTAGCTCTGGAAACTGTGTGCTTGTCAGATCATGGCTGTGGGGACTCTGGGAGTCCCAGAGTTGGCAAGTGTGGCCAGACTTGGTAACGCTGACGGTCCCTCTGTAGTCTGCTCCAGAACCATTGTAGCACTGATGATCTGTAAAACAGGGTTTGAAAAAACGTTGCAAATAACAAAACAATCAAGGGCCAGCAAGACCAAATGGGTTGAAGTGCATAGACCATGTATGCAAAAAGTACTTGAATTTAGGTACTTCAGGATTTAAACGAAAGCTGTGGGTTTTGAAATTTCAGTTCTGCAAGTATCTGTTCTCTTACACCCAGTTATTTCTGGATTCTGCCCTGGAGTGTCTCAGCTTTACGGCTATACACACCAACACTTGAATGCAAGTTGATACTAATGAGCATGTATGGACCTTTAGATACAGGACAAGATAAGTTAACTAAATTAAAGATACGAGTTTCACTTCAGGAAAAGTCTTCAGATGCCAACGGCGCAAACTTCCCGCCACTTTTATTTCTAGTAACTGCTCACTTCCTAGAGAAATTAGTGCTGCATTTTCTAACACCTTTTGCCATTTTTTCCTTCTTTTCTTCCTTAGAAAGAAGGGATTCAGGCTTTTCTTCTCTTTAGATACATCGCTTTTGTATCTGCTGAACTCCTATCTTTATTCTCTCTCTGTTTTGCTGCTATCCTCTCTTCATACTTTTTGAGTGCTTGTCTCCCATACGTATCACCTGAACTGAATCATGCATTTTTCTGTATGTTTGCAACATTTCCTTCTCCACTTTTCTGAGTCCACCTCCCCAGCCATCAGGAATCCAGCTCTCTCAAAGCCCTTCCTCCAAACGCCCAGGGTACTCATGCCGTAGCTGTTCCACCAGAGGAGCACCGCTGGCTCTGAGGATCATGGACAACTTTCGCCAGACTTTTTGTTGTTTTTATTCTCATTCCATTTGCTCGATACCTCTTCCCTGGCTGATTTGTCTCTGTCATTGTTTTCTTAGTTATTTTTGCTTCTCAGCTGTACTAGATTATTGCCTTCCTAACACACAGCTAGTCTTCCATGCCCACCATGATCCCTGCTCCTAGCTTGGGTTCAGACAGTGGATATTGTCGTAGTTTAACCTGGCAGGCAGCCA